TGCATTTGATGATTTTATCAAGCTCAACTATCATAATGCATATTTTCAAGTCTACTATCAGTTATTGGGTACTTGAAAACGAAAGAAATGTCGTAGTTTTTAGTTCACCTCAACAAAGTTGGGGGAGCTTATGTAATACCGTCGGCGTCGGTGTCGGCGTCGGCGTCCCAGGTTAAGGTAAAGTTTTTTGGAGCAGTTTTCTTTTTAAGTACTTCTATGTCCTATATTGATTAGACATGCATGGAAGATGGTTCTAGTGTGTTTCATTGTACCAGTCAAAGTTTCAGATGCTGCAATTTCAGCAAAGGAATGACCAGGTTAATGTTTTTGGAGCAGGTTAACATTTTTGGTGCAGTTTTTGGTGTAGGTTTCATTTCCAAGTAACTATAAGCCCTATGTTGACCAAACTTGCATGGATGATAGATCTAACGATGCATACTACCAGGCTTGCTTCGGATGCTGAAACTGACCTACATTTTACGGTTGAGTGAACAGGTTAGAGTTTTTGGTGCAGGTTTCATTTCCAAGTAACTATAAGCCCTATGTTGACCAAACTTGCATGGATGATACATCTACGGATGCATATTACCAGGCTTGCTTCGGATGCTGAATCTGACCTACATTTTACGGTTGAGTGAACAGGTTAGAGTTTTTGGTGCAGGTTTCATTTCCAAGTAACTATAAGCCCTATGTTGACCAAACTTGCATGGATGATACATCTACGGATGCATACTACCAGGCTTGCTTCGGATGCTGAATCTGACCTACATTTTACGGTTGAGTGAACAGGTTAAAGTTTTTGGTGCAGGTTTCATTTCCAAGTAACTATAAGCCCTATGTTGACCAAACTTGCATGGATGATATATCTAAGGATGGATACTACCGGGCTTGCATCGGATGCTGAATCTGACCTACATTTTCCGGTTGAGTGAATAAGTTAAAGTTTTTTGTGCAGGTTTCATTTCCAAGTAACTATAAGCCCTATGTTGACCAAACTTGCATGGATGATACATCTAAGGATGCACACTACAGGGCTTGCTTCGGATGCTGAATCTGACCTACATTTTCTGGTTGAGTGAACAGGTTAAAGTTTTTGGTGCAGGTTTCATTTCCAAGTAACTATAAGCCCTATGTTGGCCAAACTAGCATGGATTATACATATAAGGCTGTATACTACCAGGCTTGCTTCGGATGCTGTATCTGACCTACATTTTCCAGTTAAGTGAATAGGTTAAAGTTTTTGGTGCATGATTCATTTCCAAGTAACTATGAATTCTTTAATGACCAAACTTGCATGGATGATACATATAAGGATGCATACTACTGGGCTTGCTTCGGATGCTGAATCTGACCTACTTTTTGTTGATGAGTGAAAATGTTAGTTTTTGATGCATGTTTCATTTCCAATTAACTATGAGCCCTATAATGAGCAAACTTGCATGGATGATACATCTTAGGATGCACACTAATGGACTTGCTTTGGATGCTGAATTCGACATACATTTTCAGATAATAGACCAGGTAAAAGTTATGGGTGCAGGTCTATTACCAAAAAACTATAAGGCTTATATAACATTGTATAAACCAAACTTGCACAAATGTTGCATCAAGAGATGAAAACTCTCAAAGAACAAGGTTCACTTTTGCCTTATTTGGCCCCGTGAATTTCTGAAAAACTGAAACTGCATAATTTTAGTTAATAATGCATTGAAATATCACTTAGATCTTTGGTGACTTCGATCCTATAAAAAATGACGTCATTTTCTGGCTAGTCAGTGCATTATGACGTCACAAAATGCGTCAATTTCCTCATATTCAGAAAAAGTTTACAAAAACGGCCAATTTTTAAAGTTATTTTTTGATATTTGATATAGAGCGCAACCTCTGATCTAAAATATGCAACTAATAAATGATAGAACTGTTTCTGAGGATTCATGGACACGTTTTATTTTTTAGATCAGAGGGTGCGCTCATATTATTTTTCTTCACTGAAAGTACTCAATTATACCTGTTTTCCTAAAAATTGAAGAACATTGCAATTTCATAAAGCCTGTTCTCCAAGACCTGGACTTCGTGGAGAATTTTTTTAATAGGATATGAAAGCACTAAGTCTCTTTTTTATTTTAATGCTTCAAATAGAAATTCAAGTCTTGAACAATTAATTGGTATATCTACAGGGCCATTTTATGCATAAAGTGAACCGACTTCTTTGCTTCAGATGCTGGATTTTAATTACATTTTCATGAAGAAGAACTAGTTTAAATTTTTTATGTAGTTCTATTTCAAAATCAGATTAAAATTGCTTAAATATTTTCATTTTTGGAATGTACACTTCTTGTTGTTTATTTGTATGACTTTGCCTTACTTAAAGACAACATTTGTTGAGGTGAGCTCTGTAATCTCTGATTACCTATGTTTATAAAAAGTAACCGATTGTCTTAATTGTAGGAACATTTTCTAAAAAGTTTGTGTTTTTAAGTTATAATAAGGAAAAGAATATGTCATTTAGATTCCCGACGTTCAATTATCAGATGCATGTGTACCATTTTTTTTTAGAGGTCCATATCTCTTCCCTCATTCAAAAAGTCTCACATCCACTGATATTTTCTTCTTTTGTTACAATTTTTTGCTTTAAAAAATTATACTTTTACTTTAATTTGGTTATTCTCGAGTAATAGAGTGCATCCTGACAATCGTGTAGTTATGTTAAACCGCTATATCAATGATGCAATGTATTCAATATACAGTGTATAAATATCTGTCCCTGGCCACCTGTCTGTTTACGCGGCAACAAAACTCCCCTTCTCAATGAAAGAGCGCACCAAGGGAGATAATCTCGAAACTTGCATATTCCATTCCAAGGGCCTGGGCCCCATTCCCAAAAGTTAATGGAAAATCCCTGTAGCTACAGATCTACAGCTAATACACCAGTTTGTAAGATAGAACCAACTTTGAAGCCAGATGAACTAGCTATTTTAAAAGGTGTCAGATCCCTCTGGCTTTCCAGTATTGTACAGGATAAGCTGAAAAGGATTAACACATCAGCCCGCTTTAATAGAATGTATTCTTAATTAAACTACCACAGTTCATATTATTTGATGATGACTTTAATTTATGGTTCCTTTTTAATGCAGATTTGACTGTGTAAGAAGTTTGATGGTCATTCCAAAGGTGCATTTTTACTCCTCACCAGGAAAGTTCACAGGACTTGATTTAAAAGATGTAGAGCGTAAGCTGCCGGTGTACTTTAAAAACAGTATCAATCAGGAATGTTTATCTGTAAAAACTAATATACCATCATGCAATGAACATTTAGTTGTTTATTTAATGAAGGGTATACCAGCTCTGACTCTGCAGACCGGCTGTGGATTCCGATTGGTCAGGTCAGAGGACACTTTAAGTGTGACTGTACATTCTAAAGATAAACAGAAGGCTAGAGAGGCCCTGACACTTCTCAAGACTTGGCTGGAGAAAACGGTAGAAACTGGCATACAGAAGCATGCTTGTAATAAAAGACTGCACCTCCCCTTCACAAGAAAAACACCAGCACTGATTCTAAACCGGGCCTTAACACACAGAGGACATGACAACATTAAGGCTATTGGAGCAGCAACGGGTACAAGGATTACATATTCCCCCCGAGGTGCTAGGCAACCCTACGTGATGGTCCATGCAGATTCATTGGAAAAAATGTGGGAAGCAGTTAATCTTACTGAAAAACTGTTTGACCAAACAGTGAATTATTTAAAGAATTGTTTGGTAGGAAATTTGATGATTCCGGATAATTTACCCGCAGACTTTGATGTTTACTGTTTTACAGAGCTCTTAAAAGAAGTATTAACAGAGAAGTATGGGGAGAGTCAGCCCATTGTGACGCTGTGTTGGAACGAACATAAAACGAAAGATGAAGAAATCTACGCGTACTACGACATCAGAGCAGGAACATCGGAGGAGGTGGAAGAAGTAAAGAGTCTCATCCTAAGGATGTTAGAAAGAGAAGTGGAGCGGTTTAAATACCAGTCCCACCTCACAGTGTATTACCCACCAGAGGGGGAGTATAGGAAGTTCACAAAGCTCATGAACAATGAAGGCCTCCATTTACTCAATGACTGGAGAACCAGGGAGGGATCTCTACTGAATATAAGGCTTCACTTCAAAGGGGATCAGCAGCGGAGAGAGGAGGCGAAAGTGACGGGAAACCCGCAACGGCATCGGAAAATCCACATCAGGGGAGATCATCCAGAGGACGTTCAAAAGGTGGCCCAGAAGATTAATACCATGATTAAAAACTATACAGATGTTTATATTCATTAAATTTCTATACTGATGTTTATATTTATTAAATGTTTTTTATTGTCTTGATTATTTGGTCTGATTGCTTTTCTTCATTGTGCATTGAGTTACACATGTACCGGTACATCACATGTAAACGCATCAAAACTTGATCTATTTATATTTATGCCTTGTGATCTTCCACTCAAGGGGTACAAAATGGAATTTCCACCATTCAGGTTTCTTTTGACAATTCTAGATCATTTAAAAATAAATTTGAATTACTTTTTGAAGTAAACCAATAAGTATATACTTTGAAATTGATCAGATGTTTTTAGTATCCCTTATGTATATATTATAGGAATTTAAAAAAAAAATTCAGAAAAAAAAAAATCAAATGGAAAACAATTAAAACAATGACCCTTTTCATAAATAATCTTGACTTGGACTAAATTTCCCCTAGTCTACAATGAATATTTAACTTGAAAAATCTCATAATTTCTCTAGCTATTCAAGGAATGAAGCTTGTTTTAACCTATAGATATTTTATTTTAAATAACATAAATTATTTGATTAAAATGATTGGGGTAGTTTGTAGACACTTTATAGACTTCCCCAAGTTATGTTATATTGTTTTATGTATGATAAAGCAAGGAGTTTTTCTACTTAGAAATCCGAATACAATTGCTTCCTCGAATATTCTTCGTACGTCTTATCTATGAACTGGTTCACTGCACAAAAACTGGTGCCCTCAGTTTGTTGAATCGTGGCAGGATATTTTAAACCACAAGTTTTTTTTTACTTATGCAAATTTTCTCATTGTTATGGTGTACAGGAGAAACAAGATGGAGTCGTTCTTTTCAAAGTCGGTAAAAATAGCGTCTGTCGTCGCTGCGTACTGGTGAGTTGGTTTGTTTGACGCTTCTAAACATGTTCAATAGTCAATAATTAGATAACTTGAATTTCCTCCTGAAAATTGAATTAATGGAAATAAACATGGCAAATTATATTGTTATTTTTGTGAAACTTTTTCAAAGTTTTTCATCGTATAGAAGTTAAGAATTTGAACATTGAATTGCAGGGTCATTTCCATTTCCATGGTTTTTCTCAACAAATATTTACTGAGCAGCAAAGATTTAAAGGTAAGGCAAGGAAAAATATTTAGTAGCCACAAACTCACATATACTGATATGCAGTATAAACTCCCATACACAGTACAAACTCGCTTAAACTGTACAAACTCGCATACACAAATACAAGCTCACATATGATATAGTCCAGTGGCGGATTTAAGGGGGGGGGGGCGCACCCAGCGCGTGCCCCCCTTAAATTGTCAAAGTTAGCATTATAAAACATAGTTTTGTCAAGAAAATGTTTGAAATGTCGGAATGTCTACTCGGTAGACCTCATTTTTACCCTACAAAACCTCTATAATCCATGAGCTTCCCCCCTCCCTGGGGCCCCACCAGGGCTTTGCCCTGGACCCACTGGGGGCCTCAAGGTGGCCCCCAGACCCCCTGCCTAAATCGTGCGCCCCCCCCCCCCCTAATTTCAATTCCTGGATCTGCCCCTGTATACAGTACAAACTCACATATACAGTGTATATGCTGATTTAAAGCAAATTAAAATTCATGTCCTGACAGTGACAAGACAGATTTTATGTTTAATGTAACAATGTAGTATTTTTAACTTTAATTTCAGTTGAATGCGCCTCTGTTCATCACGTGGTACCAGTGTGTAGTGACTGTAGGACTCTGTTGCCTGCTGAGTGGACTCTCCAAAGCTTTCCCAAATCACATTTCTTTCCCATCCATTCAGATTGACACACAAATCCTGAAGGGGGTAGGTCTGGAAGAGAATGAATAGATGACATGTTCTAGAATTAAGCAAATTTTGTCTTGTTCAGGAAGGAAAAGCCCTGCATGTCATCGCGAAAGCAAGTGAAATGTAAACATGGTTAATTAAAAAAATAATCATAAAACCTGTAACAATAAACTTACCAGGGTTCACCAAACCTTCCTGTGTTTTTTTTGTGTTGAGTTGCAGACTTTGAATTTATTCTGTAGGTGCTGCCGTTATCTATAGTTTTTTGCTGTATGATATCGTTTAACAACCTGTGTTTGAAGTACGTGGGAGTGGCATTCTACTATATAGGACGTTCCTTAACTACAGTATTCAATGTGGTATGTATCATTACAAGCATTCTCTATAATCAATTTAATTTTACCTTTCATTTTAATTTTGTCACAGGGTGACAATTACTTGTGTTTATTTTATTTAGAATAATTAGTTCATTTAAATTAGTACATCTAGTCTAATAAGTTATTGTAGTAAATGATCATTTCCTGAGATGGAAGAGCCTGTGACAATATATTAAAAATGTTTCAGTACTACATTTCTAAGGCCAAGCTTCAAAAATTCTTTGTTTGCAGTTGCCGACCTATAATTTTGAGACTGGGTCGGTAGGTAGGCAATCTTTTTTCTTTGAAAAAAAAATATTTTCAGACTTTTGTTACATAAAATTTAATAGAGTTTTTCATATGCCTACATGACATGAATACGCTCCACTCTTGGTATAAACTACTCATTATGAAAGAAAAAAAATTGAAAATGTAACAGTTTCAATATCCTGAAAAAATTGGAAAAAATTTTTACTACAAAATGGCTTAAAAAAAAGTTTGGGTCTTGTTCATGTTCAGTGGGTCGGTAGGCAACTGCAAATAAATGGTATTTTATTTTATGCCTAACCTACATGTATCACTGATTCAGGAAAAAATATGACTGTGTGGTTCTGATTAAATGGGATACTTCTTTACAGCCCAAATTAACATTAGATTTGGGGCAACATTGTTTTTGCAAGCACTGTGTTGTATTATAATGTTTCTTTCATTCAATACACTTCATTTTGTTCTCATCTTCAATCCTTCAATGTCTCAACAGACACCAAGTGTATTCACTATTCAAGGTCATTGTGTGCTGTCTTATAGGTTTGTGCCCAGTGTTTCAGTGGTTCAGTTCTCGCGTTACTTTTATTTTAACACAGGTGTTTTCCTACACGATGCTACAACAGACGACCTCTGTCAAGGCCATTGTGTGCTGTCTGATCATCATTGGAGGCTTTTTTATGGGAGTGGATCAAGAAGGAGTGGCAGGTAACTGTAGACGTACAAACTTTCAGGGGGATCAAATTTCATTGAATTGTCAGGTAAAAAGTGTCTGCAGCATTAATAGCCATTCTCTGTAAGCATTTAAACTCTTATATAGGGAGTGTGGCACGCATGGTCTTGGATTTTTATGAAACTTGGCACACATTCCTATATTGATGTATGAAACTTAAAATCATAATAAAATGGTTGCTATGGCCCATGGTTACCATGGCAACCAACATACATTTTTCATAGCCTAAAAATCGCTAAATTTTGATGAAAAATGACCCTTTTTGACTTAATAAAAGTCTTTAATAGAACAAGATATTGACATGACTCTACCTTTTTGCCAAAATACACCATTTTATAGTTCTTTAGACAATTTTTAGTATTTCAGCAACTTTACCTTATAGAAAAAATATCCCCCTGTTTTTAGGTAGGATTTTGCGGAAGGGAAATTGTAGATTTTAGGCTCTTTTTAAAAGCCTGGTATAAATTTTTGCGGACAGTTGGGAAAAAATAAATGCATTGGTTTGAAAGTCCATATATAGTTCTACTATAAACTATAAAGAACCACTTGGTTTTCATATTTAGTTTTCATGTTACCATGGTTACAAACTATGCTTTTTAAAAAAAAAATCCTAGAAAAGTACAATACATATATACAATCAGGATCCATATAATTGCCTGCGTATTTTAAAATGGATTGAATTAAGATATATGGTAAACAATAGCAAAAACAAAGAGAAAAAAAAAATCAATTTTCATGACTTAGGGTCAAAGGTCAAGGTCAAATTGGCAGATTTAGATAGATATTTAAGGAAATTAAGATTCTTTCTGTGTCATAACTAATACTTGTGTTTTAAACAACAAATAAAGGAACAAAATTACAGTTCTGGTCAAAAATAATTATCATCATTTGAGTGTGTGCCCATATAAACAGAAGGTCAAAGCTCAAGGTCACCATGGTAAATAAAGAACTATGCACGCTAACTCTCAATTCCCGCCTACATTTTGTGACCATGTTATTCAATATTAATGGCAATTTAGCCATAAAATCTTTGTTTAATTCAAAAAACATTTCAATGGTATTTGATTCATTACTTTAATACCAGTGCTAAATAGTACATTATCCATTATTTCAACTCTTGAAATAAGGGGGTGGGGGTGGGTGTGGGGATGGGGGTGGGGAGGAGATGATGATATTTTCAATTGAAATCGGACTTTCAAGCATCACCATATTTGGAACAAAAATCTTGGATGTAATTAAATGTTCCGTATATTTTTCTCATGTTTTCCGCAAATAAGTAAAACATAAATATGTATTAATAAAATACACCGTTTTAGCTGTAAATCACTTTGAAAGTGGGAGAAAATAGGCATTTATTTTCGATTTTTGTCTATAAAAATATGACCCCCCCCCTTCTGTCTGTTTTCACATTTTATCATCAAGGGATTTCTTAAAAAGCCTACGATCTTTTTCAATTTGAGTTTATACCACAACTCGCTTTGGCGTAAAAAGACACCTATTTATTTCTAGGTCAAAAGATCAAGGTAAAAAAAAAATTGTTTGTATGCAAACCTCTCATTTCCGAGCGATATGTCAAAAAGCATTTAGGTAAGCTTTTTTTTTTTTTTTACATCATAACCCCCTATGGTCCCGCCCGCCCCTTTTTAAGTGTCCCATCCCCTACCACCACCACCCTCCGACACCCCCCACCCCACTCCTCTTAATCTACACAAGTTCTTATCTCCTTAAGCAGGGGACACCTGAAATATCTGGTTAATGATGCAGTTATACTCGGGAATTCGGAATACTGTATACAGGGAAATTTTCGCCCCTGTTTTATTTTCGCCCTCTTCTTGATTGGGCAAATTTAAAACGGGGCGAATTCAAATTACACAATTTCTTAAACAGAACTATGACTGAGCGAATTTAAAACAGGGCAAAATTGTTCGCATGTGCAAAAGGGCGAAAATAACCCTGTATACAGTACTACTGGTATATTGTAAATGTTGTATCCTTACCTCTATCCCGTATATTGAACATATTTTATTGAAACTGGTATAAATTACATTCTCCCTTTAGCTTGATGCATAATGTGAAAATGCTTATAAGTACGGTTTTCAGGTTTTATTGATATAAAGGTAGGCTATCAAGAATATTGAACGACTATACACTTTCCATTTTGAGTGCAAGACTTCTTGTAAGTAGATAATTGTGCTACAAGCATGTAAAGACACTTCTATGTTGTTATAGTAAACTAGTCTTTGCTCCTAAATGTACATTTTTGAAACCATATTTAACAATCTGAACTTTTCAAGTGACAGTCAAAATGTGTTTTCAGTGACTTTTTTTCAGAGAAGTTGACGGAAAAAATCTAATTTACTTTGCAATATCATTCTTAAAAATTGAGATGGTTAAATATTTCAACTCAAATATGCCTGGATCTATGCAAAAGATCTGCTACCGGGGTATTTCCAAAGTTTAATCAATAATAATCTGTTGTAAAAATCTGCTGGACCTGTTCGAATAATCAGTAAATCTGCTTTTGTGCTTTAATTAATTGGGTTTTTTAGGGGAGGGCAGAAAATTATTTTCATTATTAATGAAATACTGCTAGACAGATTTAATATTAATTGTACTGCTATAAGGTTAAATCATAATGTATCTGAGTCCATAGAAATTATAAACCGTTTACTTTAAATTTGATTCACCTACAATTTGTATTTCTATGCAACTCCCCCAATCATTAAAAGTATATTTTTGACTGGTGAACAAAACATTTTATACTTGTTTATCCTGTTTAAAAACTACATAATATGACTGCGTTTGCTATGGGTTAGGGGACGACCTTTGATCCAGAATGGGGGAGGGTCAACTTAGGTTTATTTTCATGGCAGGACATATTATTTATTTCCAAGATGATCTGTATGAAAAATTATTAATTTTCTTCTTCACAGAAAAAGGTCTGAAGAGCAAAGAAGAAAACAATAATAAATAAAATGCCCAAACTCTTTTTTTTTGTTTGGGAAGGGAGGGGGGGGGGCTTGTATCGGTAGGCTAACAATTAGTCTCTATAATCATATTCATCTTAAAATATCATTTGCTTTCTAACGCCGTATTCATTGCAATCCTCCAGTATATCACTCTGACTGATCGTGAGACAAACTAATTCTTTTTCAAAAACCAAATTCATAATACTAGTAATTCTGATATCTCAAGTTTATCTTGAATCCCGGTTTGAACTCCTTAGACCTTGAGACTAATGCTTATGTACAGAGCTGATTTCCTGTACTATGTATTCTTGTACATTTCACCATTTTTCACATATCAAAATTATTCTTTTTCATGTAGGAAATAAACAGAGGCTAAAATTTGTATGCACATTAAATAAACAGGAAAAAACAGTTGATTTTACTTGAATTCCAGGATATACAGGGCTGTATGCTGGCAAAATGTAAACAACTTCCAGTCAATTTTGTACAATGATTTTTTTTATCTTTCTCACTGAAGAGCTCACAATTATCAAAGGGAGATAATTCAATTTCAAAGTAAATGTCTGCTATCTTAATCAAAGATTTCTCATATTTATAGAGAGAATACCAACAAGGTGTTAATATGCATTTTAAAATAAGATGTTATATTTCTTATTTCTGTTAGTAACATGATTTGAAGTAGCCGCATTTCATTAAAAAACTTTCCCAAATATTGCATTTTTTCAGAAAAAATCAACTTTAGACACTGTTTCCATGGTAACTACTCAACATCCATATGATCTAACTATATTTTTTGAAGTAGTTTATGAGGTGGTACTTTCAAGCCAAATTTGAAAAAAATCTGTGACTATGCGTGCCACAAAAGATTAAGTGGTTACAGAGAATGAGTATTAAATTTTCTTGTGTTAAAGCTCATATATTCAATATCTCACCCAGTGACACCATATAAAAATTTTGTGTTCAACTTGGATTTAACTTTGTTGCTTATTTTTAACATGTTTAACAACAAAATAAATGAAATTAAAGTGCCAATGAAACTGCTTTTACAGTGATTATAATGTTAAGGACTCTCTATCACAATCAAAAGTGTAATTGATGGACACTCGAGTAGTTATAAAGATGTGAATATTGCATTAATCCGTTTCATTTGCAACAGAGGGTTCTTGTCACTCCTCGGGCATGTTCAGATGAAGTATCAGTGAGAGAAATCACCGAGTTAAATAGGTTAATAAAGGTCTAAAAAGTGTTCAATTATTATTTATCTCTCAGGAGAAATGAGAAAATGTACAAAAAAAAATTCGTATTGAGAGCAAAAATAAATTATTGTTGCTTATTGAAATAAGGAAACCACATACATGTACAAATAAAGTGTCCAAATAATTTGTCTTGGCCTAATTGAAGGATAAAGAATGTTTGAATTGATTGCAGCCAAATATATGAACACAATTTTGATTTTGATTTATACAATCTAAATGTAAGGACAGATGACTCAAAATGCACAAAAATACCACAGAATATGAACTCTTCTGACAGTATGCACTATGCCGTGCATTGAGTGTACTTAAATTAAAATATTTCCAATGAAATATTCATTATTCATGACAATGAAGGTACCTTTGTTAAATTTTTTTTTAAAAACCCGGAAAAAAGTTATCTGTTGTACAGTGTACCCATAAAATGATTGTAACATCTGAAAGGAGAGCATACGCCAAAATCTTTTCACGATTTTCATCACTTTATACTTGAGCCCTATCAGTGGTTATCCGTTGTTATTTCAGGGTCACTATCTGTGATGGGGGTGGTGTTTGGAGTCTTGGCGAGCGCCAGTGTGGCCTTGAACTCTATTTACACAAAGAAAGTCCTGCCAGTGGTGGACAACAACATCTGGAGGTTGACCTTCTACAACAACGTCAACGCCTGCTTCCTCTTCCTCCCTCTCATGCTGGTGTTCGGTGAAATCGGAGAAGTCTGGAACTTCCCTAAACTGGGGAACACAACGTTCTGGACCTACATGACGATAGGAGGAGTGTTCGGATTTGCCATCGGATACATAACGGGATTACAGATCCAGGTGACCTCCCCTCTCACCCACAACATATCAGGGACAGCTAAGGCCTGCGCCCAGACTGTGATAGCCTGTATATACTATCAGGACCACAAATCAACGCTTTGGTGGACCAGTAACTTTGTCGTGTTATTCGGGTCCGGGGCGTACACCGAAGTACGGAGGCAGGAAATGAAGGTTAAACATAAAATGGACATGGCTCAGATATCAGAAAAAATGGAGGAGGGAGAGGACTCCTCGGAGAAGGAACTCATATCCAAGTGATTAACTTAGAACTTAACAAATAGGAATCAATTTTTATCTTTTTTGTTTCTTTCATGCAGAGGGAAGTAAGTTTAGTGTGTCACAAGGATTCTCATTATATATTCATTTTGGAATACATGTACATGCATTTATTTTGAAGGTAAACACTTTTTAGATATGACATGCAAAAATATAAACCTGTTAATAAAACCGAATGTTTTTTTTTTTAATAGAATTGAATGTCTGTTTACAGGCAAAAATATAAACCTGTTAATGAAACCAAATTTTTTTTTATAGAACTAAGTATTATTTGAGTTTCTGTTATTGTTTGCTGGGGTATAATGTTGTTTTCCGAGTTAAGTTAGAGAGCTCAATTTGTGATGGTCAGTGTAATTGACAAATTCAGTTTTGTTTTATAACTTAAGTCCTGGATAAAATTTGATAAATTAGCATTTTATCTTTAATCAGAATTGGAATATCAGTTTCAACCAGGACCTAGTTTTTGATAAGAATTTGTTACATACATTTGTTTCAAATGTACTCCTTTTCGTTATGAAATCCATTTTCCTTTCTCTGTAAAAAGCTTAATTAGTCCCCATTACATTCCACGAAGGGCTTTCATTAATTAACTGCCAAGCAGGTATCCCAGGTGTATGTTTCTCATTACACATTTTACTATGATATTCAGTTTCACACAAAGAAATCAAACATTTTGGATTTGTTTACACTCAGATTTTGTTGACTGTAGTTAACTCTAAACAGCTTAACAGACTCTTCCTACTTCTTTCAATCATTAGAAAGTAGGCTATGTCACTAAATATTCCACTTTTGATTCAAATAAATTCAGTTTGACTGTGTGAAGAGAATTCTGAGAATAGAATTAAAATTACATATCATTTGTCAGTAAGAAATAAAAACAAATTGTACATGTAGTCTGACACAATATTTCTATATTATGTATAATCTGACATGTATATATTTCTATGTTATTATTTTTATTATGCATATTACTTTTAAAGTTTATATGAAGTATTAAATGTTTGTATTTTCATGTGATATGTGAGAATATATGACTTACATAAGAATATTTTAGAATCTCCCCTATAATGGCATAGGGTAAGAATTTTTTTAATGTGATTTGTTCTGAGGATTATCTTGATGTGCTATGCATTGAAAATTGAATTTTTGAGAAAAAAATGATTTTAAGTACTTGTAAACATATATATTAACAAATCATGGATATACAGTTGTAGGTAAACGTGAATGTCATGTACATTTTAATGGAAGGACCTCAGGTACTCAACTGAGACATTAGCTGGACAATCGCATCAGTCTTTCTATCTCATGAACAATGATGAAAACGGTTAACATCCTTTTCTTACTCATATTCATTGTCCAAAAATTGTGTTCTGTTTTGACCCTTTTTCTAATAAGGCGTGTGGTTGAAAATTTTGTAAATATCTGAAACACATGAAAAAGTACTAATAGCTGTGGTAATGAAGTAAACATACATTTTTGAGAGAAGTTTTTTTTTCCTGTGAAATTGAATGTAAAATAACTCATGGTATCACTATACATGCCACTGTGAAGAAAATGTGTATAGTTATGTATCAAAAGTTAATTTTTTTGTTTTCTAAAATATTACGTGCTTAGTTAACATTATAATTATGCAGTGTTAATTCAGTCTTTAACTATGTTACTTTGTATATGTTTGTTTTTAGAAAAAAAATAACCATTTTTTGCTTTTCAATCTTAAACAGAATGTATTGTCTGCTACTATATTAGATAATATTGTAGAATCCCAGTTTGTCTGAGAGAAAATTAAGAACTGTTTGTTTGTGTTATTGCTCATTAATGTCATCATTTTTATTTTATAGCTAGTTAACTTATGTATGTTAAATACATATTTATACATTATGTAAATCTTATAACTATTATTATATTATGAATGATGTGCTTATTTAACTGTGGTATTCTTTGTGTAAGTACAAAGACTATTTACTTTTAAGATTAAATGTGGGTTTATAAAACTGATCATTTCTCCTGTGTTCTATGGCATAGATTATTAAACTTATTTCCCCCTTCTGTTATACAGTGCTGAATGACATTTTTAAAGTTTTTATATCAAATGATTGTTCTGTCAAAATATACAAAAGTATCCTGAAATTAAGGGCCAGTGCAGAGACAGTGCTGGACACGTTATCACAGGTGACGTCAATATAGTTCATAATAAGGAACTTAGATCAATAATAAATAATCCTAAGTATGGGGAACAACTATCCTTCAACTGGCGTCAGAATTTCATAAATATTATGGATTCTGTAGAAGATTACGCCAGGCGATCGATGGTCCAGATACATATAGGACGACATTTTGTCAGAATGGATTAAATGTATCAGATCTATGTTACAATCGCGTATTGAAACATTCAGGGGCTGTTTGAAAACCGTCAATCCTCCTTATCCAACAATCCAGAAGTGAAAAAAGAATTAGATAGATTACATGATCTGTAGGTACGGCACTGGTCTCTCCTGACAAAGCAGATAATGACATTGTCTTTGTATGTAAGGCTCATTATATAAATTGTATTTTAAAAGAACTTGCATTTGGATTTAATTTTACAAGTTGTAATCCACTTTATACTCATAGTTTCGTTTCTGAGGAAGAAATTTTTCAAAATTATATGTCAGATTTGAATATTTTTATGATCCCAAGGAACCAAAATAAATTTGGACTACCATATTTAAATTGGATTCCGAAACTTTATAAAAATTCTTACAATGATACAAAGTGCTTTCCAGTAAATACTCAACAAAGCCTTATTCTGTACTCCTCACCCAGATATTAACAGTGCTGAAGGAGAAACGTCAAGAGTACTGTGCAACAATATATTTAAGAAGTGTAAATTAGATTCTGATACTAGTACTTAAAAAGTCCAAGGAACATTTGGACAATATCAAATCAAAAGATTTTTACCAAAATCTACAGCTTAAAACGTACAACTTTCCAACCTTATATATACATAACCATTCCGCACGATAAATTTTAGTTTAGGATTTTTTTTTTATATCACTGACAGCTGTTTCTTCCATAAAACTGGAACTCATTAATTTACTTACCTTGATCGAATCGATACACAAGAGCATGTTCTATGTATGAACAATTTTAAAGCGAGGTAAATCATTAACAAATACGTTGATGAAACAAGAATATCAGCAGTTTCATTTAAAGTCATCATTTTGCAAGTTCTATGTCCGATACAATGTCCTTGTCACCAAATACAATTTATTATTGAGTCAAATACTTACACACTTTTTTCATACTTATTGTTAGTCCATTATTAATTCATTGAAATGACGACAGAATTTTCGTTATTTCCCGATCACGACAAGGAGCTTATGATTATGGCTGACAAGGAGCACACGGCGGGTGTGACCGGTCAGCAGGGGATGCTCACTCCTCCATGGTACCTGATCCCTCCTCTGATGGTTCGGAGTTCAGTGTTTGCTCTCCTCCTATTTTGTATTGTTTTATGGACTTTTGATCTTGAAATATACTGTTCGTTATTTCCATATTTTTCCTTTAAAAAATCATGCTTTTTTTCTCATAATTCTCTAATTTTTTTTTTGGAAATGGTGATCATACATTATGAAATCTAGTAGGAGCTATACATTTGACAGAACATGGAAATATCATCTTTAGTTTCTGCTTCTTAAAATTATTCAGATTAATGTCCTCTTATACATTGTTAAATTAGCAGTCAAAGACTTAAAGAAATAGTCTGAAGTAAGTTAATTAAATATCTAGGTACATAAGTTATAAATTATATCAAATAAATATGATTTTCAACAAACTGCAATCTTAATATATTCTGAATGCCGTAAATCTTAAGCTGTGTTATCCGGTCAAAACTCTTAGAGATTTGTCATAAAATAGCTACTCTAGCATTTATGAAAAAAAATTTCAAGCGTAAAGATATAACTTGAACATTTATTTCCTTTTAAAAAATATATATAGGGGAAATTCTGATTAGTAAATTTTTATTTTGAATTACTAGTCTAAATTGGATAGTATATTGTAGTATTGAGTAATGATATTGGTTTCTTAAAACCTTTTATAAATACAAATGTAAAACAAAATATTGTTATGAGAATACTCATAAAGGATAAACAGTGATTTATAATATGCAGTTTGTATTAAAGTTTTTACCAGAGGGATCTTAAATAGTTAAAATACTTATGCATCGACTAATTCCAACAATTAGACAAAAATCCTACATTGTACATCGATCGATTTCATTTGATAAAATTTGATAAAAAATCAAAATAAACAATAAAAAATCAGATCTTTGTTTAAGGAAAAAAATTCTTATCTACCGTATATACTCGCCTATAAGTTTATCCGCCTATAAGTCGGTTGTACTTACTAAGCATATATTTCAGACGAACTGACCTCATATAATACCATTCTTTTTATAGCTCGCCTATAACATGTATAAGTCGGACACAGAGTTTTGGACCAGAGATTGACTCCCAAAAAACCGACTTATAGGCGAGTATATACGGTATATCATACTCAAACATAATGCTGGTTTTATTGACATATACTTCAGTGTTTTTCTACCATGAAGTCTCTGTTATTATTTCCTTTGTGTAAATTTTCCATGTTAGTTGGTATTTCCTTTAGTTATAATTTCACCTAAAGGAAAACAGAGCCATTACTTTTGCTTTACAAACTTAATTCTCTGATACTGAATCCTGACCAGATCAGTGAGTGATTTACCTGAGTGTATAGGGTGTTTATCAGTCCCTTTGTGTCGAGATAAACATTTATTGAAGTTAAGATTGCACAGATATCCACTTACTGCAATATCATCTGACAGAAATTTGGTGTTATGGGAACCACGTGTTTTGGGTATGAGCTGAATAATGCGGAAATTATCAAAATATCTCTTAAGTAAGTAGAAGAATAAAACTCAGTCTGTTAATATACTCTCAGTGTCCACAAATCATCTCTCTAGATAATATAGAACAATTCAATTGTAAGCAATTTAGTCGAATATATAAAAAGTAGATTTTTTTCGAATATCTTAACAGTTTAAGGTAGGTTTAATTATTGACTTCATGTTAATTAAAATAATTAATATAAAGCCAATACATTATAGCTCAATTGAGTGTTGCGTACAAGAAATATAGTGTTTGATATATCAGAATATATTGTTTGTAATGAAAAAAATTCAGTGCTATGACATTGCAGTTTGGATTACAAACATCTCGTATACTTAATATAGAGGCGTTTGTATGTGTAAATCGTCATTTATCTTTTTTCCCTATTTACATCAAGGAAATACAGAAAAAGCAAAATATTTTTAAAAGAAGATCGAGTCATTTTTGCTGTAGATAATTCCAATATAATGATCAACAATTCCCCCTTGAGTTCCATAAAAGGAAGAGTCATTTAAATAAGATGAGGTCAACAGAGGTCACGGGAATCTCTGAGTACAAATTAATCACCAAAATCTGATGTCAAATATACACATTCTCTTTTTCCTCTCACTGATATTGATATTGAAATGGGTTTTTAAAATTTCTAATGGCTGGACTGGTTTTTGAATAATTTTCTTATCTATAGAGTGATAGCAAACACAGTTATCATAAATGCGTTTCGGCATAAGTTACACATTTACAAAAGACTTTTTTCTAGCTATATTACAGTTGATATCAATTCCAGTTTCATTGTCTGATAATTTTGTTCTCGATGTTTTATTTACTTATAATTTTGCAGAAAATGGCACAATGAAACCAGATAGCACCAAAAATATCAGGGTCATATATTGTATGTCAAACTTTGTTGTGATCTGTACTTATTTATCTCAAGAATATTTGACATTCAGTCAAATCTGCGCAACAGATCAAGAGCAGCGATAACCTAATCTTATTCAAATAAATAGGAGATTAAGTGCATACAATTTTTACTACTCCTTACTTCTTTTTGCAGAAATAGGATTGTTTTCGATAGTTGCTTTGGTGGTCATTTCCAAATTACTGTCCATAAATAGAATACCACATCAACGTTTGCCGAAAATTTGTATAGGTTTCCGTGGAAGACTAGGGAACCTCATGTTTCAGTACGCTTTTCTATACAGTATTTCTAAATCTAAAGGCCTGTATCCTGTAATCCCTGAAAACTTTGAACTCGGCAATGTTTTCAAAATTAATAAAACAACGCTGAAACAAATTGGTGAAGACAACACTGCTTGTGATAAAATTCCAACTCATTCCGAGAGATGGGCTTGTTCATTTGATGACCAGCTTATAAATGTGCCAATATTTCAGAGTGCTAAATTTAATGGATATTTCCAGTCCTGGAAATACTGGATCCAGCATGAAAACGGTCTTCGTCAGACATTTAAATTCCAAGACAGAATAACAGAGAGAGCCAGGAAGCAGCTAGCAGACATCATAGGAACATCCGGGTTTACTTGTTGTTCCAAAAATTCCACGCTAGTGGGAGTGCATGTAAGACGCGGAGACTATACCTCTAAACTTGTGAATGACTACGGTCAAATAACTCCTAATGCTAGCTATTATGAAAACGCAATGGATTACTTTGAAAATTTGTATCCAAGCGTTTTATTCATCGTGGCGTCGGATGACCTCAAATGGACCAAGGACGCTTTTAAGAACAAAACAAATGTGCACATATCGTTGGGTAATTCTGGACCGGAGGATATGGCGCTGTTGTCCTTAACAAACCACACGATCATGTCAGTGGGGACCTTCGGATGGTGGGTGGCGTGGATGACAGGGGGGACAACTCTGTATTATAGACCCGTATTTGCCCCGGGTTCAAGGTTCGCAAAAGACTTTAATAATGACGTCAGTAGTTTTATATATCCGGGGTGGATACCAATGGAGTGAACTTCGTGAAATTAAACTTTAGCGACAACTTTACATGTTATTAAAATTGCATAATATATAATTTTATATGTTCGACATGTCTTTTTAAATTTCTC